GGAAAGAGTCTAAAACTATAGTAAAGGAAATCCGGAGACCTTGGTAGCAGTTACATCTCTGTCATGCATATGGTAAGTCTTTAGTCAAATCAGCATGGCAAAGATATTCAAAAGTTTGTCCAGGTTTTCAGGATATCTCTTCCTGGCACAATGCAGGTCTGTATGTACCTGGGCTAGCTCTGAACAAGATGGCATGTCTGCACAGCCTCATCAGTGTCATGAAAAGATACTTGCTCGGTTCCTGGAACCAGCATAGCTGTATCCACTCAACATTGCACCCACGGTCATTAACCTTGGTGCTAACGGGCTGAGCACCAACCTGATATGACTGCTGCTGCTGGTTCTGGAACTAGGTGGATTGGAGCTAGCTTAGTGATCGGGGTACCCAGCGTGACACTCTTAAAGAGGTCCGATTTTTAAGAGAGTGGAGGCTTGATGTCTGAAATCAGGCCACCTTAAGGTGTTTTGAGTTTAACACAGAACTGGAGTCAGTCAGAATCACTAATCAGCCAGAACCCCTGGCCTTCTTGGACCTCAGTTTCTCCATCTGTGTGAAAGAGAAATACTGAACCTGCAAGGGTGTTTTAGGGACTGAATAGTTAATGTGTGCATAGAGTATGTGGAGGCAGGGGGCAGAGTCCAAAACATTACTAGAAGACTCAGGAAAGTGGCCAAGTGCCCAAGTAAAACACCTGCTTGTCCTTCAAGGAGATGAACAACAGCAGTGGGTGTTTCCCAACAGCTCAGCTTCCCCACCCTACATTTTCAAATCAAGATCTTCTGCTGGCAAGTATTCAGGCTCAGGATGTGGCTACAATTGCCTATTTAGAAGTAAATCTGCAAATACTATTAAAGAAAAGTGCCAAAGAGAGAGAGAGAGAGAAAGAGAGAGAGAAGCAAAAAAGAAATCAAGCTATCATTAAAATTAAATCCCAGAGAGTGATTTGCAAATAACGTTCAAGGAGCCGAAAAAAGGAGTAAAGTAGGCCATTGGGAACCTAGCATGGCAAAATAAATCCAATTAAACATGATTATTATACGCACTGTAAATGAAACATATGCTTGGATGTGAAATTAAAGTCATAGAAGCTGTTTGGAGTTTAAGGATTGGTGGGGTTTTTTAATTTCTTTCAGAAATTTTGTGGGACTTTTAGTGGCAAATATTTCTGTCCAGTGGAGGTGTCATGGTCTGTCCCTTTTAAAATATGTATCTAAATATTTATTTGTATTTGTTCAAGTTCATAGGCAGGCAGGGATTTTTTGCCCATTTTTTCTCCAGTCTATTGCTTCCTGTATGACTTAGTGGCCCATTAAGGTAAATGATACAGCAAAAATTGTAACTGAGCTAAGCCAAGATTTCTGTGCCAAATGTCCTTCTTAACCAAGCAGCCAGGGCCATCCAACACTTTTAATCAACCTTTTAAAATGCTTCCCCTCTGCTTTTGATATTTGTTTCACTGCTTCTTGTTCTGCTGATATTGCCTCAGGGCATATCACAGGGTGTGGACAGACATAACACTTGAACTGTTCCAAGAATGTCACTGATCAAGAACCAGTTCACATTTGTCCCTGGACAGAAGTGTCTGTACATATACTGATAAGGGTTCTAAGTAGAACCATCACCTTTTAGGAATGGCACTGCTGCCAAAAACCCACCAAGGAGTGGTAGAGTATCCAAACCATTGTGTCTCCCAGAAAGGAATGGAGAGGTTGCTAGGCACTGACAGTGCCATGTAAGCCCCCCAGCCCCACCCGCTTGTGGTTTTCAGGGAGCTCCATGCCTTTGCCCCTCCCCCCCCGAGGTCTGTGGGGCTTTTGAACCTGTGCCTTGAAAGCAATGCTCCCAATTTCACTTCTCTGCTAAAAACCCTATACTCCATAGTCATTTGCAGCAAGGGCAGGGTTGCCAACTGTACATAAATTTACAGACAGTCCATAAAAGACACACCTAAAAACACCTGTTATACAATGCTTTCAAAAATGGAGCTGACCTTAAAAAACTAAGAATCCCTGAGCTTACTTGCAGCTCATCAGAATGAGACTAGTGGTATGCCTTGATACGCAGATGGAGCAGAGCAGTGCCACCTTATCTCTGATCAGGAGTGCATCACCCTGCCTCGGACATTCTCTCATCGTTTTATAGCCTGTAGCTCCCTCCCTTGAGCAATGTGCTGCTGCTGCTGCCATGCCCAGTGACCTGCATGTAATACGATTGGGTTGCAGTAATCCTTCTTTGGGATCTGGGCCAGATCAGGGAGATGAGACTAGCAGCAGTGAGGCTGGGGAATGAGGAGGGGCACCACAGTGTGGTAGGGGATACCAGGGTGTGGGGATGAGTGTGGGGTGGGCAAAGTACTCTATAAAACCTTTGCTACAATCAAGTAGGGTTGCCAACCAAGGATTTTTTTTTACTGACAATCTGCACACTTTTTACTGACAGCAAAACTTTTTTTATTATGGTTGGTGTTAAATCTCTAAATATTAACCCAGCCCTTACCCAGGGCCTAGCAGAAGGGTTACATTTACATTATTTAAATGTTTGTCAATAAAAGCATATGTCAGTATAAAAGTTTGGTTGTCTTTAAAAAAATGTTCTTGGATTGGCAACCCTGGGTGAGGAGGAGGCAAGCCACACAGCTCTCCCAGCACCACGCAACCCTTCCACTCTTCTTCCTCACTCCAAAATGAGCTGGTACTATGGAGGACAGGGTCTGTAGCAGGCAAGTTCAATTGACAACATGGCTTTCAAGGAAGGGGTTGAAAAGCTGCAGAGATCTTGGGGGCCCCTGGGAACACAAGCGAAAGGTCAGACGCCCCCTCCCCCCCAGCACCTGGAAGGTGCAAACCTAGTGGGGGTGCAGTGGTATGGTTGTACCTCTATTTCAGATCTGGCCATGGGAGAAGTAGTCCCCAAAACAGGTAAGAATATCTCCCCTCCCTTCCCTTCCATCTTCAGCAGAATGACCCTTCCCATCCCATTTCTCCCTGCCCACCACTGCTGCTGTACCCACTGTCCCAGCTGATCAGGGGCAGGGGAATACTCCAGAGTTGCTGCTGCCCCACTCCACCTGAGGACAGTGGTGGCAGGCAGGTGTCCTCTCCCTGCACTACCTCCCAGGCTGTCAAGGAATACCTAGGGGGCCTGGTAGAGAGAAGGAACCCACCTGCTGCTGTTCCCAGCTGGAGCAGGGCAGGAGTGGTGCTCGAGCCCACTCTGTTCCTGGAGCAGCCAGAGACAGTGGCAGTGGCAGATGGGGAGAAGAATGGAAGGGGAGGTATTGTGCTTTTGTGGAAAGAGGGAAAGGGAGCAGGTGCCAAGAGTGGGGTGGGTGGTATTCTTATCTGATCTGGTGACTTAAAAACAGTCCGAGCTTCTGCTTCCATGATGCAGTCTATCTGCCCTGGGGGCCAGAGGATGCTGGTGGCATATGGACTTGGATCAGAGTCCTGGCTGCATTCCAGAACAGCCCCTTGCCCTGTATGTTTTAGGGCGGGGGGGAGAGAGAGACTGAGGAGTGCAGTTTGGGATGTCTGGAAAGCTAACCAGATACTAGGCACAGGATGCTCTGTGTCCCAATGTAACATTAAGCCTGTTTTGGGGGGGACTAGCTCATAATAATACTTGATTTTCCTGGTGTGCTTTTGAAATGTTCCAGGAAGTTTAAGCCAGTCTTCAGTGGCCTGTATATCTAGACTCCTGGGGTTTTAAATTGTATTTAGAATGTATTAAGTATTACGTCTGTGCACACCCACAGTGACATCACAGTTGCAGCGAGTCTTTGAGAACATATGATGTTGCGTTGCATTCTAAACCAGGAAATACTAAGTGGAGGTTACGGAGGGAAAAGCAGAGTTTAAATAGCCTGGATCTCATCAGCTTGCTGAAATCCCTTGGCAGCTTCTTTAATATGGATGGTCAGCACAGACATTGGTTGTTATCTCAATGTTCAGTCTCCACCTTAAAAGAAATCTCAGACAAAAAGTGACTTTTTCTGACCTGAGCCCTCGAGTTTACGTTGTGAGATTCTGGCCTCAGCTTTGTCACCAACCTCTTGTGTGACCTTAAGCATCTCATTTTCCCCCTTCATCCTTCATCTTCCCTGTCTATCAAGTATAGATGATACTTCCATAACTTGGAGTTTCTGAGGATTAATTCAAAAGAGAGGTGCTTTGGGATGAAAAGTGCTGTGTAAGTTCCAGGTATTGTTATCATTATCTGGCCGCTGTTGAAATTCATTACTTTTAGGCAGGTCAGCAATTTAAAATGGGTCTCTTTAACTTGTATTGGATACGAAACACTTCCCTAGTACATTAGTGAAACCCTACTGCTTTTTATCTCAACTCCTCCAAATGGGGCC